GACCAGACCATCCCTGAGGGGGGGTACGGGAATTTTTCGGAAAAAAAAATTTTGCTCAAAAGTATTCACAAAATACATAAATCGACTCAGTTTTTAACGCTGATTCTGAATCTGATATTAGTTTTGAACTGAATCATAGTTTTTCTGTACTCAAAAAGTGAGTACACTATAGAATAGTCAGTGTGTCCGTCCGTCCGGTCGGCTGTTTACATGGTAACTTTCGAAAGGAGAGTCAGATCACGATGAAATTTTCTACACAATTCAGTCTTTACAAGATCTCGGTCAAGTTCGAAGATGAGAAGGATCGGTCGAGCTCTTCCTGAGTTATTACAAAATACCCCATTTTCCCTATGGCTTCCTATGGGAAAATCGACCCACCGGTACTTTCGTAAAAGACTTTTTCTATTATAGTCAATTAATACCCCAACTATTATAGACCACTCGATAGAAAATTCCAAGAACTACAAAATGGTACATAAAACATTAAGAAAAAAGAAAGCTAACTCATCTGTTGGTAAGATAAATAAACGAAGGTCGGTTCGGTTTTCGTGCACGCTCCAATCGATCCCCAATGGGAAGTCTATCTTCCTATGATAGAGGTGATAATCGAAGGTTTTCTAGTATGGAGAACTCGAATCAGTACTCAACTGACCTCGAAAGCCCATTGGTTGAGCATTGACCAATAGAAATCAAGTTATAGGAAAGACGACTTTCTGAGGCTAAGTTAGGTCGAAGAGTTCAAATCTGAGGCGTATATGCTTCTAAATCCTATTGGATGAGCCGTAGGCAATAGAATTGAAAGGTTTATAGAAAAGGTTTGCCAGGGAAATTTTTATATTCAGACGTTCTAGGATGACTGGGTCTGGTCATTCACTTTTTTCATTTTCATATCACTCTCGATCGGATAAATCATCATCAATATCAAATGCCATAATTTAATTTTTAAAACAAAACAATATTATTATTTATTGACACATTTTTGTTTGTCTCATTACATATCTAAAATAATTCAATCATCTCATTCTTAAGAATTAAAGAAATAAAAGATGCGCTTTCGTTGTTTTAATTGTTTGTACTTTGTCATATATATTGTCTTTTGTAAGATTTTTTTACTCAAAACAAAATTAACCTCCTAAAACGATTTAAAATTGATCACTAGCAGATTTATTATTTTATCTCCTCAATTCTTATTATGTTTAAATACGAACTTCAACTATTAATAGTGCTATCTAGTTCATCTTAAATTATTTTATTTCACATTTTAGATTTTAATTATCATACTTATATTCAAACATTTAAAACAAATATAAATTGAATTTTTTTCACACAATTAATATAAACATCAATTGCATTTTTCTGTCAAACAATTAAAAAAATATAAATTAAATTTTTTGTTTAAAGAAAGTTGTCAAGTTTTTGACTTTCTAAAGTTTCTTGCCTAGTATCGAGTGTATCTTCACCAAGCTTTAACGAAGATTTGTCTCGAAAAGAAACTTTTCCATTGTCTATCTCACCAAGTTCAGAGATATACACGTTTCTCACTAAGGCGTACAAGCCGTACTTAGTGTATATATACGTGCTTAATTTGAATAAGAAGCTGTGACTATTTAAGATTTTAACGTCTAATTTAATCACATCTTAGTTCATTATTTATTGTCCAAAAGAAATCAGTCAAATCCAAAGTAAAATCACGATAAAAAGCCTACAAACGGCAACTAGTTATTTGTCTTATTAATTCCAAAACAGATTAGTGGAATTATTATTTCGCTTTATTAATTAAAAAAAAACAATCGATCGATTTATTATTTAGATTTATCAATTCAACCAAGAATTAGTAGAATTATCTTTATCATTTTAAATAACAAATAGTGAATTTATTATTCGACTTGTAACTTTTTGAACTGGTTTGAAAAAATGTCGAAGATAAAACGAAGATCTATATCTCAAAGAAATGCCGAGAGAGCGAAGAGAATGAGAGAAAGAAGAATTGATGATGAGTTTCGGTTGTCAGACAATAGAAGACGAGCAAATTCTCTCAAAATTCAACGACAAACTGATGAATTTAAAACCGAAGAAAATAAGAGAAGAGCAGAAGCTCTTAAAATTGCACGACAAACTGATGAATTTAAAACTGAAGAAAATAAGAGAAGAGCAGAAGCTCATAAGATCGAACGAGAAAATGATGAGTTTAAAACTGAAGAAAATAAAAGAAGAGCAGAAGCTCTTAAAATTGCACGACAAAATGATGAATTTAAACTTCAAGAAAATAAAAGAAGAGCTGAAGCTCTTAAAATTGTACGAGAAAATGATGAATTTAAGCTTCAAGAAAATAAAAGAAGAGCAGAAGCTCATAAAATTGAACGTCAAAATATTGAATTCAGAATACAGGAAAATGACAGAAGACTGAATTCTCTGAAAATTAAACGTGAAGATGAAGAATACAAACAGGAAGAGAGAAGAAGAAATGCATCAAGAATGCGTATGAGTCGAGATAAATACGAAAATAATTTTCATCTCATGAAATTAAATTATGAATCAAAAATAAAAGAAGGACCTACTCACATTTGCAGTTGTTGTGGCGGTTTATGGTTCGAATATTCAATCAAAGAATCTACAGTTGAGATGTTGAGAAATAAAGGATTACCAAAAGAATTTATTGATACAGTCTGTTATCTCAAAAATGCAATCATTAAATTATGTGTTACTTGTAGAAAGGACATTATGTCGAATAAAGTACCTAATCTTTGCCTATCTAATGGTTTAGCATTCTATGAAATACCAGATTGTTTGAAAATCTTGACTGAATTAGAAGAACGATTAATATCACCAAGAATTCCTTTTATGGTGATTCGAACGTTAGGCTTCTGTAAACAGTTTGGTCTCAAAGGTAATCTGGTCAATGTTCCGATGAATGTTGACACAAATGTTTCGGTCTTACCGAGAAAGTTTAGCGATACCCATACCATCCAGCTAAAACTCATGAGACAAATGAAAAATAAAAACGCCTTTATGTATGAAACAATTCGACCAAAAGTTGTACATACAGCTGTTAAATATCTTGTCGAACAGGAACTATATAAAGGCGAAGGTATCATTATATCCGATGATTGGTTGAATGAGTATTCTAATGAACGAGAAAATTTCATTATTAAAGATGAAGATAAAAAAATTGATGCGAATGAAATCATGAAGGAATCAGAATTTGATGATAATGATGCCAATTGGAATGAATCCGATGATAAACCAATCAATCCAGTAGCTACCGAAACATTATTAAATGATGAGATTGAAGATCAGAATGATATCGGTATTAAATTTGCTCCAGCAGAGAATAATAGACCAATATCAATTTTGATGGATATGAAAGTTGATGAATTAACATTTCCAAAAATTTATTGTGGTAAACAAAGAAAAATCAAAGAAAATGTTAAATTGACTTACGCTAAAATTGCTAAGTCAGAATTAAGAATGTTCGATCGAAGATGTGGTAGAATATCGAAACTATTTTTTACCTATAAGAAATTGCAAACGAGAAAGTTTTCAGATGCTATTTCAATAACTCTAAGAAAAACAAAAAATACAAAAAATGTAACTGTTGCACAAATGCTCAATCGAGATTATGTCAATGGATTAATACATAATGATGACGCTTTCACATTCTTNGTAGATTCTTCATGTAATTTGACTTATTAAAATGTATTTGAACAAAAATTGAACAAAAAAGGAAGTAGGAAGTAAAGAGTGATTTCATTGATTTTGATGTAGCTTACCAAAACAACCGTATTTTTTTTCAACCAAACAATATTTTCGAAAAATCAAAGCTATACTTTTGAAGCGCGTTGTCTGGCGGTTCGAATGGTGTATGAAACTCATTTATATCTTGAGATGCAAAAAACTAGATAGCTTTGCAAAAAAATCCACGACACATCAATTTTCATCTTTAGATCCTCTATATTTTATAAGTATATTTTTACTAAGGCTTATCAAAAATAAGTCAAAAACAGGTTCACTCGACGCAGGTTTTCACGACGAATCTGAATATGTAATTTTTATAATTCCAACGCGCTGAAAAAGTTTCTCAAAATTGAGAAAACATTCAAAACTATCGTTTTTTGTGAAAAAAAATGATTATTCGACCCTATTGAAAAAACTTGTATTTTTTTTACCAAAAACTTTAGAAAAAAAATTACTACATACATATTCTTACTCAGCTTGACGAGCTCTATCCAACCATGTATAAAAAAATGAAAAAAAAATTTGCTCGAATTTTGCATTTCCCGCACCTTACATAAAACATAAAAAAACATGAAGGCTACCTCACCTATTGCCAAGATAAACAAGATGTTCATTATAATCACCAAATCCTTCAGTTAATAAATCAACTGCATCTGATATCCATTTAACATTATCATAAGATGAAATCTAATTAAATAAATTTTATTTTGAATATAAAAATTAAGAAAATAATTTACAGTAAAAACTAATGAAGAACTTTCATTTCCAGATGTTACTAAATGTAATTGACTAGGTTTTATTTATATTTATTAAAAAAAGATAATAATTTTTTACTGGAACAGTAATTTTTTGTTGTCGTTTATAACTTTGGTCTTCAATAACTGAAAGTCTTCCATGTATTTGTCGTTCATTAGGTACTTTTAATGGAATAGATTCATTTTGTTTAACAGTCATTGGTGTTAATGATTGATCACCAACAAACTTCAAAACAACAAAATTAAAACAAAATAAAAGAAAAAAAAATATTTGAAATATACTTCAAGACCATGTAAACGTTGAATAATTATTTCTTTATTTATAGCGTTAAAAAATGATAATAATGGTTGATCATCATCATCACTTGGTGGTAATCGTTTATTATAAACATCATTAAATAATGCTGATACACGTTGAAGAAGATCCAAACTAGTTTTTGTTATTGTTATATTAAGTAATTGATCAGCATGTATATTTATTATTTGTTTAGTACTTGAAGTAGATATATCATGTTCATTTGATGAAGATGGAAGTTGTTTTTCAGTTACTGGTAATGCCTTTTAATTAAAAACAAACATATATAAAATATACTTTTATTTTTAGAAATTAAATATTTAATAATTTGTTAGATATGATTGATTAGATACATATATATGAATTACATACGCAATAAATACTTTTTATTTTTCTTTTAAAATAAAGAAAACAAAAAAAAACAAATATTATCTTATCAAAGAAAATAATAAAATCTAACCAGATAAACGAATAACTTTTGTAAGATAATCAAATAATTGACCATTTGGACATAATTCATAACAATAAATACATAATTTGGTGTTTCAAATGATGCAATTATATCAATTATATTTGGATGTTTACCAACTAATTTTAATATTTGAATTTCTCATAATGTTGATGCACGTTCTTCTTGACTATCATCATTAAATTCAACAATTTTACATGCATATTCTTTTCCTGTTGCTTTTTCTACACATTTTCGAACAACAGACGATAAACTTTTCACAATAACTTCTTTTGGATCATATTTTTGATAAAATTGTCAAGCTAAAATTCGAGAAAAAAAACTCCATTCTTTCATAAATCATATTATTTTTTTTCATTTTCATACCACTCTCTTGATCTGGTAAATCATCATCAATATCAAATGTCATAATTTAATTTGTAAAACAAAACAATATTATTATTTATTGACACATTTTTGTTTGTCTCATTACATATCTAAAATAATCTAATCATCTAATTCTTAAGAATTAAATAAATGAAAGATGAGTTTTTTTTGTTGTTTTAATTGTTTGTATTTTGTCGTATATATTTTCTCTCGGTAAGATTTTTTACTCAAAACAGAATTAACTTCCTAAAACGATTTGAAATTGATCATTAGCAGATTTATTATTTTATCTCCTCAATTCTTATTATGTTTAAATACGAACTCAACTATTAAAAAAAATTTATTAAATAAAATCATTCAAGTTTATTAAAACAACATCTTGTATAAAGAAATTGTTTAAATACAATTTATCTTGTACTAAATAAATAAAAGATTTTTTCTTATAAATATCTACTTATTACAATCATTGAGATTTCTTTAAAACCACTAAATAATTTCTCAATCATTAATAGTGCCATCTACTAGTAGTTCATCTTAAATTATTTTATTTCACGTTTTAGATTTTAATTATCATAATTATATTCAAACATTTAAAACAAATATAAATTGAATTTTTTTCACACAATTAAAATAAACATCAATTGAATTTTTCTTTCAAACAATTAAAAAAATATAAATTAAATTTTTTGTTTAAAGAAAGTTGTCAAGTTTTTGACTTTCTAAAGTTTCTTGCCTATAGTATCGAGTGTATCTTCACCAAGTTTAACGAAGATTTGTCTCGAAAAGAAACTTTTCCATTGTTTATCTCAACAAGTTCAGAGATATACGCGTTTCTCACTAAGGAGAACAAGCCGTACTTAGTGTATATATACGTGCTTAATCTAAATAAGAAGCTGTGACTATTTAAGATTTTAACGTCTAATTTAATCGCATCTTACTTCATTATCTATTGTCCAAAAAAAAATCATTCGAATCCAAAATAAAATCACGAAAAAAGCCTACAAACGGCAACTAGTTATTTATCTTTATTAATTCCAAAACAGATTAGTGGATTTATTGTTTCGCTTTATTAATTAAGAAAAATAATCTGTCGATTTATTATTTAGATTTATCAATTCAACCAACAATTAGTAGATTTATCTTTATCATTTTAAAGAACAAATAGTGAATTTATTATTCAACTTGTAACTTTTTGAACTGGTCTGAAAAATGCCGAAGATAAAACGAAGATCTATATCTCAAAGAAATGCCGAGAGGGCAAAGAGAATGAGAGAAAGAAGAACTGATGATGAGTTTCGGTTGTCAGACAATAGAAGACGAGCAAATTCTCTCAAAATTCAACGACAAACTGATGAATTTAAAACCGAAGAAAATAAGAGAAGAGCAGAAGCTCATAAGATTGAACGAGAAAATGATGAATTTAAAACTGAAGAAAATAGAAAAAGAGCAGAAGCTCTCAAAAATGAAAGACTCAATATTGAATTCAGAAAACAAGAAAATGAAAGGAGATTGAAATCACTTAAAATTAAACGTGAAGAGGAAGAATACAAAGACGAAGAGAGAAGAAGAAATGCATTAAGAATGCATAATAGTAGAGATAAATACACAAATAATTTTGATGCCATGAAATCAAATTATGAGTCAAAAATAAAACAAGGACCAACTCATATTTGCAGCTGTTGTGGTGGTTTATGGTTTGAATATTCAATCAGAGAATTCACAATTGACATGTTAACAAACAAAGGATTAAAACAAGAATTTATTGACACAGTTTGTTATCTCAAAAATACTATGATTAAATTATGTGTTACCTGCAGAAAAGACATCATGTTGAGTTAAGTACCTAATTTCTGCCTGTCTAATGGTTTAGCATTTTATGATGTACCGAATTGTTTGAAAATCTTAACTGAGTTAGAAGAAAGATTGATATCACCAAGAATTCCTTTTATGATAATTCGAACTTTAAGCTTTTGTAGACAATTTGGTCTAAAAGGCAATCTTGTAAATGTTCCCATGAATGTTGATACAAATGTTTCAATACTACCCAGAAGTTTTAGCAATACTCACACGATCCAATTGAAACTCATGAGACAAATGAAAAATAAAAATGCTTTTATGTATGAAACAATTCGACCAAAAGTTGTACATACAGCTATTAAATATCTTGTTGAACAACAATTATATAAAGATGAAGGCATTGTTATATCTAATGATTGGCTGAACGAATATTCCAATGAAAGAGAAAATTTCATTGTCAATGATGAAGATAAAAAATGTAATGAGCATGAAAATACGGGAGAAGGTTTTGACGACGATGACAATTGGAATGAATGCGATGATAAGCCAATCAATCCAGAAGCTACTGAAACATTATTAAATGATGAGATTGACGATCAAAATGATATTGGTATTAAAATTGCTCCAGGAGAGAATAACAGACCGATATCTATTTTAATGGATTTGAAAGTCGACGAGTTAACATTTCCAAAAATTTATTGTGGAAAACAACGAAAAATCAAAGAAAGCGTTAAATTGACTTATGCTAAAATTGCCAAGTCAGAATTAAGAATGCTTGACAGAAGATGTGGTAGAGTATCGAAACTATTTTTTACATATAAGAAATTGCAAACAAGAAAGTTTTCTGATGCTATTTCAATAAATTTGAGAAAAACAAAAAGTACGAAAAATGTAACTGCTGCATAAATGCTCAATCGGGATTATGTTAATGGACTAATACATAATGATGATGCTTTTACCTTCTTGAGATGTGATCGATCTACACCAGCATTTTGGGAACTAAAAAAAGGAAGTTATGGCAATGAACAGGCAATTAGGATGTGAAACATTATTTCTGACATTATCAGCAGCAGAAACACAGTGGTCAAAACTTATTATCATATTAACTCAAGTGTTGGAAAATAAAGTAATAAATTAGAAGAAGCAGAGAATATGAGCTACGAAAAGAAATGCGATTTGATAAGAAACGATCCTGTAACATGCGTTCGTTATTTTGAACATAGATTAAAATGTTTATGGGAAATATTATCAGCTCCTTGTGATCCATTTCAAGGATATGAATTAGAAGATAAATATGTCAGAACTGAATTTCAAGTTCGTGGCTCACCACATATTCATGCTCTACTATGGTTAAAAAATGCTCCAAAATACAACAAAAATAGTCCTGAGTCAATTGAAAGATGTGTAGAATTTATTGATAAACTGATTTCGGTTAATTTTAAGCCAATGGAATTTTCTGAAGAACTTATAAATTTACAACGTCATAAGCACTCACATACTTGTAAAAAACATGTAAAAGATGGTATTAAATGTCGTTTTGGTATTCCATATTTTCCAATGAGAAAAACGATGATTTTAGAACCATTGAGTGATGATGAAAAGTTCACTAAAAAAGAACGTACAGAGATAAGCAAAAATAGACAGAACGTAATTAAAGAACTTGACAAGGTATCAAAAGATAAAGATAATTCATTAACTTTTGAAGAATTTTTGGAACATGTTTATATGAATGAAGAAGAATATATTAAAATGATTCGAGCTGAATTAAAAAAGGCAAAAATATTCTTGAAACGTGCTCCAAATGAAATCAGAATCAATGCATACCAGGGCTCGAAACGGGCCACTTTTATAGGGCCCGGCCCGGCCCGGTCCAGAGTGGCCCATCAAATTTTGAGCCCGCTCGACCCGGCCCGACCTAGGCCCAGCGAAACTGTTTTTAGAAAATATTTTTTGCAGAACTGATTATAAAAATAAACGTCGTATTTCAAAAGAATTTCCGTAGAGTTCATCAATAATTTATTGATT